TTCGTGAAGTCGTCTATATCTGCGAACGATTTTGGATCTGTGAAGTAGTCCTTGGTCTGTTTGTCGATAGCATCTTGTGTTACACTTATCCTTGACTCTTCAGTAAGGTTTTCTTCTTCTGAGCTGGAGTGATCACTTTCGGTTTCGCTGTCGACAGATTCTTCCGAGGTAATGTCTTCTAATTCTTGACGAACGTCCCGCATGCTTATGGGTATGGATTTCATAGGTGTCGGTTGGAAAGCTTTCGCAGCTTCGTAGTACACTATGTTCCCTCCCCATCTGCGAGAGTTTTCAAGTTCGATACCTTGGTGTAATAGGTACTTGCGTTCTGTTTTAGTTTCTGTGTTTTGTTTGTTGATCGCGGTTTAGAGTTGAGAGGAAATTCTCCTTGTTGTATTTCTCGTAGCAAGGATTTCTTGTCCCATTGTATTGAGTTTGTTGACGAGAAGAGTCGATTAGTTTGTTCATCTGACGGTTTGATTTCGACATACCATAGATATGTCTTAGGGCAAAAATAGAATGGTATGAAATCCTTGTTTGCAGTGATGATACCGTGAGTTCCTTTTGTTACGCTCCCATGATGAATAACAGTGTTGTTGGAGTTCGTAATTCTCCATATTGATAGTAGATTTGCAGCAGCGTTCTTGTCTTGGATGATTGTTGCAAGGGTCGCGAAAGCATATGATTTGTTGGTGACAGATTCCATCTTGCCTACGAGTAGGCCTCCCATGGATGTGTTGACTTTCTGGCCACCGACTCCGGTGATTTCGCTCTCGTATGCAAATCTTTTTCGGATCCACTTAGCGTCGCAGAGGACGCTGATGGTGGCTCCTGAGTCAACGATAGCGAACAGCGAATGCTTGTTCTGTGTTGATCTACAGGTCATGAAGACTTTATGTCGGTCCAGATTCCTAATGAGGAGTCTAGGTACCTCGAACATGTCTTTTAGGAACCATGGAGTGGATACTTTCGAAAACAGAGTCGCATCCAATTGCTCTGTTTGAAGAGGTATCTCTTTGCGCTTGTGTAGTTGTGGGGCAGCGAGACATTTCGAGTAATCTTTTTCAGATTTATTCTTATGTCTGTTGTTTTTAGCACCCTGAGTGAATGAAGATGCAGCGTTGTTGCCTTTTGCGGCAGCCTTGCGGACAGTTTCTTTCAGGCGTCTTGGAGGCGTTGGAGCCTCTTCATCGCCTTCCGAAATTTGTTCTTCTTCATTTTCCTCATCTGTGCTGTAATCGTTAGATTCAGCGAGATGATGGCCGCGTTTTGCGACCTGCTGTAACGCTTCAGCAAGGTTCACAATGAAATCATTGCCTCCCGTAGTCGTCATGTTCTTTTTGAACTTTGACTTTGGGTAGTTCCCGCTGTTCTCATTGGAACAGTTGGGGTTTTTCTGACGAAAGTTTTTTGCGTTGGGTTTCCCCTGAAACTTGGGCTTGTTGTACGCGGAGCCCTTGTTCGGCAGTTGGTTCCCAACTTGCTGTGCGGCTGCTCGAGTAGCTTGCTGTTCTCTTTTTTTCCAGGCTTTAGTCTGGAATCCGTTGACTGGGTCTCCGGTAATTCTTTTCCATTTCTTGCCGATCTTAGTCTTGTCGTGCTGTGATGTACCGTGACTCTTGTAGATCTTTGCGGGGTAATTGCACTCAATGCAAATCGCACATTCTTGCCCTTGGGTACCGCCTTGATCCGTAGTATGGTAAACCTTGTTCTTCTTGTGGTTTGTGCCATCTACGTCTTGTGGCGCCTTCCGTTTGTTTGGGAAGCCAGGGTGGCTGTAGGTAGTGCGCACGATTGGGACTGCGTTACCGTCTTTCGTAGATCCTTGTTTGGTGAAATGAAGGAGTTCTTCGTGAAATCGTTGAAGGCTTTCAATGGTGGGTTTCTCGTTGTAGTAGAACGTTGGTTCGGTTGACGCTCGTTGGATTTGGTTGGTAATCCATTTTGCGATTTGTCCTTGTTCTCCGTGTCGATCGATACTTTTCAATTCATGTTGGATCTGGTCCCAGGTGGTGGCTAGAATGAGTTCACAGTCCTGTCCTTTTTCCATGAATCTCTCAAGAATCCGAATAATATCGGTGACGTAAGTAGTATAGTCTCCTCCATACTTCAGTGCTTGGTTGAGTTCTTTCAAGCTTTGAGTTGTTTGTTTCGTGCTTGACAACTCAGTCGGTTGGTCCAATTGTTTAAATTCATTCCACGCTCGTATCGCGGCGAAGTGAAACTTCCCTGCGTTGGAATCGCTGTGCTGCTCTTTCATATATCGCGTTATGGTTTTCTTTCTGCTGCTGCAATTTTCGTAGATTGCAAACAGAATTTGAATGAGTGCTTGGTCTGCTATTTGCACGAATTCTCTCCGCTTGACGATAATGGCTTCTTTTTCTGCAACTGATAATCCTTCTGAGATTGGAATGTTGTGCTCGAAGAAAGCTTGCATTTTCTCTTCTTTCCCTTCTGAGTTGAGATATGCAAAGAATCTCCCGCTTAGCTCTCTTTGAATAAATTCTTCGATTGCTGGAGCGGCAGTTCTTGCATTCTCTGGTGTAACTCTTGTAAGGATCGAGTTGCCATTTGATGGAGGCCAGTTTAGTTGGTAAGCTGTCGTCATTCTTCAACGCGAGGCTCTAACCTGATGTGAGACTTGTTCCACAACGTAGCAAGGTGTGCTTGGGAGAATGAAGAATGAAGCTAGATTTGTTTATGTATCAGCAGAGCAAGATAACGTATGAGGGACTGATGTGTAAGAGTGGCGAGGAAACGAGCAGCGAAGGTGTCCGCTCCTCTCTGAGCTTAAATAGTGTCGTAAATGATCTTGCTATGGTACGGTCAAGTCTCATCCTCATAGTACTCTACCTGTCGTATGTACTGAGTTTACGACTAGCCGCCAGGTCCACCGTACAAGATGCGCCCTGCCACGTTGGGCATGGTACACATAACAGTCGGTATTTGCCTGATGAAGTACCAAAATGTACCCGACACGGTACCTGAGGTATTCCACATAAAACTTCATATTGCCCTTATAGTTTTTGCTATTTCGGCATGATGCTGTTGCATCGTTACAAGTGCAACGATGTCATGGGTACAACATCACCTTGCCTGCAAGGTTTGATCGTTGTGTGGGTGCACTAGTAGTTCACGAATGCACCTCGTGCTCATACTGATTCAATTGGCATGCATTGCAAGAGATGCGGGAGCAGCGGAGACTCTTCTTGTATGCCCTCGCCACAGCAGATACAGCGTGGAAGTATGCAGAACACTGATACAGAGGTTGCTGATCGCCACAGGATTGCCAACGCCTGCAGTAGCAGGAGTTGAAATCTTGTACAGGACTTGCGTTGCAAGAAGTGCAGCTATCATGTATTCAACTGGTGCAGTATCCGAACAGTACAAGTGCAGCCCCAATAGAATAACCGAGTCAATGAGGATGGCAAAATATACTGACAGTAGAATTCCGCGACCCGGCGTGGGAGGGCCCAAAGCCAAAGTCACGGCCTCTGGGCGAACCGGAGCTATAACAACAGTGCAGACAGCAATGAGGACAACAATGTTGACTGCGAGAGAAGCGCGCACGAACGTCTTGCACGCATTGTTGCTGTCGCAGCTCCGCGCCTGCGTCATGTTTGCGCAAGTACCCTTCATGCTGACAGAAGGGTGGGGTTGTAAAGCCATAACAAAAACAAACTTTTTATACAGCCAGACTGTCAGCCAGACTGTCAGCCATAACGACTTTTTCAAGTTTGTCAGCCAGACTGTCAGCCATCACGAGGACTGCTGTGGTTGATCTAAATTAAAAAGAAATCCCTTTATTGACTGAAAAAGAAGGACAAACCGGAGCAAACAAAGGAGGGGGAGGATAGAGCCAACAAACCCGCCTTAATAAAATACTAGGAAACGAAGGAGGCAGGGTTTAGGGTTTAGGGTTTGCCATCGCTATCTTTGAGCCGCCCCACACAGGAGTAAACACAACCTCGGACCCACCAATAGAATGGTTGGAAGCGTCGCTGGACTCGGCTCCCTCAGTACATCTGCAACAAAGGAAGAAGAAGACGGGAATAACCGAAGAGAATGCAATCAAAGTATCCATCTGTTGCTGGAAATAGTCAATGCCGCAGTGCGTTGGACGACGGCGAAACAGAAGCTACAGCATGGTGGCAACAACTCGAAGAGGTAGTATCAGAGGTTCGCCAAGAAACAACACAACCATTGGCATACGAGTTTTTACAACTTGATCTAGCAGAGATCACAGATTGTGACATCAGTACATTTCGTAACTACACACACATCCCCAGGCTCTAAGCAACAAGAGAGCAAAGGAACTGCAACGAGTGGTGGTTGGATAGATAAACAAAAGAGATTTCGCGAGCACATCCCGGCTGCAAAACACAATACATGTCATTCTGATAGGATGGAAGAATAACATTGATGAGATACCAGAAGGCTTCGAAATTATCAGCCGGATCCCGAAAGGCGCTCAGATAACATACGCAGCAAACTTTTGGGGAACAGGGAATCGTTGCCTGATGAAAACGTTAGAGGAGCTATAACATACCCCAGAGCTCAGCTTCATGACAACATCCTCCCAACGTATGAGGAGATGTGTAACCAACGAAGGAGTCAGATCCAGCCGCGCAGCGATCACCAAGGCGGAAGGCATATCACAGCAGCTATTGAAGGAGACGTCACACAGAGCAGAAAAAATAGAACCATGCGAATAGGGTATGTTCTCCAGCAACAAGCGACGGCAGCAGGAGGAGGGTTTAGGGTTTAGGGTTTAGGGTTTAGGGTTTAGGGTTTAGGGTTTAGGGTTTAGGGTTTAGAGCGCCCGTTATTTCAGGCACGAGCGCCCGTTATTTCAGGCACCATGGCTGCACGCGTGGTGTAGGGGAAGCTGCCAGGGCGCCAAGGAAGCTGCAAGCGAGAGGTTTGTATACTTCAAATAGCTTTCTAAGTATGGTTCTTCAGTATGATGAAAATGTTCGCAACCTGCTGTATCGGAGATCATGCCAATACACGCAGAGCGGACTTGTGGATCATCGGATGCCTCTGTCCTCGAAGCTGATCTCGTCGAGAGGGTGAAGAGCTTCGCGAAGCGTTATCCGAACAGCAGGACAGCCCAGGCTTGCAAGGCTGTGGAGGGATGCACCCCCGACGCTATCGCAGAAGCCATCCGCTCGACGTGTCAGCAGGCACGACGTGAGCTTCTGCAAGAAGCGATGACTGGATGGAGTGACGCATCCAGAGAGTGGTTTATGCAGCAGATTGAAGAAGCCAAGAAGGAGAAGGTCGAGACATACACCGCCTCAGCAGGCAACGAGGTGACTTCCTTCATCTCCATGACTCTCCTGGGCATCTCCTCGGTGTATGTCAACCATGAAGAAAAGCTGTCGGTGTATGTCAACCATGAAGAGAAGCTGAAGAAGAAATTTGAAGAGATCGGACTGATCGTAGACTCAGTGCAAGAGAGTAAAGCGAGTGCTGAGGAGATCCCGGTGACTGTTTCCTTCCTCCGCAATGCACAAGCGGAGAAGCTCTGGCAGGGAAGAGAGGACTTCGCGATCGATGGTCGCAAGTTCACAGCTGTACATGTGAGCATCGTGCACGATCGATCTTTCAAGATTCGAGCCAAGAGAGGACCCTGGGGCAAAGGGGGCAGCTTGGCAGAGCTGACTCACCTGCTAACCTTGGGCGGCATGACAACGGCTGAGATAGCTGCCGTCTATTGCTATCAGCTGCTGCGCCAGTCCCTTGCAGCGGTCCAACTCCAGCCGCTGGCAGGCATGCTGGTCGCTGGGGCGCCAGGACAGCAAGTCCACAAAGGCTTAGGTCAGAAAGGCTTCATCGCTGTAGGGGCCAACGTCATCTGGAGACAGAGGGAGGTGGAGTGGATCGTCTCCTCGAGCTGCCCAGAGGCGAATGATACAGCATTTCGAGCTTTCCGAGAGAGCGAAGCGATGGAGGGAGTACACCTGACTCTGTTCAGCGAGGACCCGAAGATCAGAGAGGCGCTCGCAGTCGAGTTGACAGCTGATCGCTTTGTGTCCAGAAATAAGTTGAAGAAGGCATCAAGGATGCAGAAGAAGGCAGGCGGCAAGGACGGCAAGGAGATCAAGATCATCATCAAGTCGACGGCGGCATCTGGTCGCTTCACGAGGAAGGAGATGGAGGGGCTGTGCAACGGCGGGAGGAAGGAGATGGAGGGGCTGTGCAACGGCGGCAACACGTCTATCGCAAGAGTCAAGAGAGTCTTGTTGGAGATCGCTAACGGGTCCAAGCTATGCATCCTCCTAGGATGCTCGACGCATGATGAAGGAGCTGCCCTTCTATCTCGAAGGCGTGATGAAGGAGCTGCCCTTCTATCTCGAAGGCGCAGCAACCAAGCTCGAAGCAGTCGGCTTCGACAAGGAGCCTGACTCTGAGGCGGCTGGTCAGCGGGGCACCAGCGACGCAGCGCAGCGACAGGAGGAGAGCGAGGGAGAGTGGCTGGAGTTTACAGACCTGGAGAGGATCACAATGGAGGCAGCATCTCCGTCAAGCCAAGAGGACATGCAGCTCGTCAGCGAGCTGTCAGCAGTCATCGAAGATGCAGCTTCTTTGAACGAGGCAGGGACGAGCGAGCCGATCAAGCTGGTCCTGGACAAGGCCGTTGGCAACCTCCACGACACCTTCTACTCTCCGGGGAGCCTGGAGTTCATGTCGCTGGGAGAGTGGGCGAAGATGCCAGAGGAGCAGGGAGTTGGGCGCAACGTTCTCAAGGAGAAGCTGGGGAAGTGGCTGCAGAGCAAGCGCTGGACTCGCGTGCAAGGAGAGAGCAAGAAGGCAAGGAGGGGCAGCGCGTTCTCGCCACGGGCAACGGCAACTGCTGAGCTTGAGCAGGAGGCGGAGAGGGACGACATAGAGCGTCGATCTCTTAGCCTCCTGTTCATAGCACTGAGTAAATTCGCAGAGATGCATGTGCTGGCCTGCTCGCTGAAGGTGGACAAGAAGGACCGACTGCGAGTGGAGATGAGGGAAGATGACGAAGAAGAGGAAGACATGGAGGAAGAGCAAGGCGAGGGCGAGGAAGAAGACGGGGCGAGCCCGTACCGAGCTTGAGCTGAGCTCAAGGTAAGGAGAGAAGGCCCCCGGGTAGGAGGCGACCGAAGGCCAAGGTGAGGAGAGGCAACTCTCCTGACTGAAGCTGAGGAAGCTGAATGGAGGAGGAGTAGGTGGCGACCGAAGGCCAAGGTGAGGAGAGGCAACTCTCCTGACTGAGGCTGAGGAAGCTGAATGGAGGTAGAGTAGGTGGCGACCGAAGGCCAAGGTGAGGAGAGGCAACTCTCCTGACTGAGGCTGAGGAAGCCAAGAGAAGACAGCAGAAGTAGAAAGTAGAAAGACGCCTCAGAAGCAGGGTTCGCATTGTAGGCCGTGTACTCCCAGTGCTCGAGCGCCTCTTTAGACTAGGATCAAATTGCAAAAGCCCACAACGAGGCCGAGCAACATTCTAGCATTCTAATAAACTCACATAATAATAATAATAATAGGGTTTAGGGTTTAGGGTTTAGGGTTTAGGAGGCCGCCCCTTCCCGAGGCAGGCCGCCCCTTCCCGAGGCAGGCCGCCCCTTCCCGAGGCAGGCCGCCCCTTCCCGAGGCAGGCCGCCCCTTCCCGAGGCAGGCCGCCCCTTCCCGAGGCAGAGGCCGCCCCTTCCCGAGGCAGGCCGCCCCTTCCCGAGGCAGGCCGCCCCTTCCCGAGGCAGGCCGCCCCTTCCCGAGGCAGGCCGCCCCTTCCCGAGGCAGGCCGCCCCTTCCCGAGGCAGGCCGCCCCTTCCCGAGGCAGGCCGCCCCTTCCCGAGGCAGGCCGCCCCTTCCCGAGGCAGGCCGCCCCTTCCCGAGGCAGGCCGCCCCTTCCCGAGGCAGGCCGCCCCTTCCCGAGGCATGCACATCCCTTCCCGAGGCAGGCCGCCCCTTCCCGAGGCAGAGGCCGCCCCTTCCCGAGGCAAGGCCGCCCCTTCCCGAGGCAGGCCGCCCCTTCCCGAGGCAGGCCGCCCCTTCCCGAGGCATGCACATCCGCGGCGCGTAGGGAGAGCGCAAGGGGACCGGAGGAAGCTGCGAGCAAGTTCTTGGTATAGTTCAAACAGCTTCCAAGCATGGTACTACAGTATGATGAGAGCGCATGCCAATACACGCAGGGCGAGCGCTCTGGAGGCCACGTCGAGGAGGCCGCCGACCTCGTCGAGAGAGTGAAGAGCTTCGCGAAGCGGTATCCTGGTAGTAGGACAGCTCAGGCTTGCAGAGCTGAGGGGGGATGCACTCCCGACGCTATCGCTGAAGCCATCCGCTCGACATGTCGGCAGGCGAGACGCGACCTGTTTGAAGACTCTCTGAGTGAATGGAGCTCAGAGTCGAGAGCATGGTTTATTCAACAGATGGAGGAGGCCAAGAAACAGAATGTCGAGACATACATCGGCACCGAAGGCACCGAGGGGACCTCCTTCATCTCCATGACTCTCCTAGGGATTTCCTCGATGTATGTTCGACAAGAAGAAAAGTTGAAAACGAAGCTTATGGAGCTAGGTCTCATGGTAGACTCAGTCGATGGAGTCGACAAGGCCATCATGTGGAAAGCACCTTACAGACCTGAGATAGCACGAGCAGACGACATCTCAGTCACCGTCTCCTTCCTTCGGAATGAAGCAGCCATGGAGCTATGGGAAGGCAGGAAAGAATACTGCATAGAAGGGAGAGCCTTCCGAGCCACAGAGGTGAGCATTGCACACGACCGGTCGTTCAAGCTTCGAGCCAAGCGAGGACCTTGGGGCAAGGGAGGGAGCCTTGCCGAGCTATCGCAGCTCCTAGCTCTCGGAGGAATGTCGACGGCTGAGATCGCTCAGATTTATCGATTTCAGCTGCTCTCACAATCTCTTGCAGCCGCAGAGGTACAACCACTTGCAGGCATGCTCTTGCAGGGTCCTGGGCAGAGAGGTCGCAAGGGGCCGAGCCCGAAGACGTATGTCGCTGTTGGGGCAAGTACGGGCACTCTCCAGCAAAAAGAGCTAGAGTGGGTGCTCAGCTCGCCTTCGACGGCAAGCTGCGAGCAGACCTTGGCCTCGTTCAGAGAGAGCGAGGCGATGGAGGGGGTGCATCTCACTCTCATCAGCGACGACGCCAAGCTCAGAGAGACGTTTGCAGTCGAGCTCACAGCCGACACCTTCGTGCCGAGGGGAAAGATTGCCAAGCAGAGGAAGGCACTTCGCGAGAGAGATCATGCGGGGCGCAGCAGCTTCAGAGTACAGATCAAGTCGAGGTCAAGCATGAGCACAGGCCGCTTCTCGAGGAAGGAGATGGAAGCGCTGTGCGGAGGAGGTAACACATCGATCACGAGAGTCAAGCGAGCCATGTTGGAGTTAGCAAGAAGCATGAACCTCAAGCTGGTCAGCGTCGAGGTCGAGGAGGATCGTGACACGCTCAGCTGGGATGGGAGCCTGATAGCTCTCTCCCTGGCGACCAAGGCAGAGGCTCGACGCTTGATGGAAGACATGCCCTTCTACTTGGAAGGGATCCTGGAAGTCAAGCTGGAAGCTATGGGTTTTAAGCTCAACCCTCAGCATGAGGAGGAGAGGAGCCCGAGCAGCGAGGAGCAAGCCCAAGAGCCCCAAGGGCAGCAGCAAGGCGCTGGATGGCTGGAGCTCAGCGACATCGACAGGATTACTATGGAAGCAGCGTCGCCGTCAGGGCCAGTCGACCAACAGGTCTTGCTCGACCTCTCGACGATGCTCTTGGAGACATCAGAGGAGGAGCTGCTAGCTGGCAAGCCGATCTCGCTGGAGCTAGACAAGAGTGTTGGCAAGCTGCATGACACCTTCTGCTCGCCGGGCAACGTGGAGTTCATGACGCTCGGAGCTTGGGCAGCCACGCCGACGCTGGGATCGAAGCGAAACATTTTGAAAGAAAAGCTCAGAGCGTACCTCGGCGAGCAGCGCTGGACACGGGTGCAAGGGAACAAGGCAGCGAGGAGGGGCAGCGCCTTCTCTCCAAGGGCAGCAGCGACTGATGCGCTCGAGCAGGAGGCTGAGAGCGATGACATCGAGAGTCGATCTGTAAGCCTCTTGTTTCTTGCGATCAGTAAATTTGCTGAGCACCATGGGTTGAGCTGCACGGGCAAGGTCGACAAGCAAGACCGACTGCGGCTGATGATGAGGGAGGAAGTCGACATGGAGGCTGAGGAGGGCGAGGGCGTGGAGGAGGAGGCCGGTGCAGGCCCCTCGCGCGCTTGAGGCTCGAGTCAAGTCTTAGAGGTGGACAAGAGGCGGAGCGGGGCTGTGGGCCCCATGGGGGGAAGGAGGAAGAAATAAATGAGGTGGACATGGGGCAAGCAACGAAGGTAAGGGCAGGTAAGCCGGTGGGGGAGGGGGGAGGGGGGCCGGGAGGAGGAGGCCGGGCGGAGGCCGGCCGGGCTCTCGGGCCCGGTCCGGACCGAGGCCCGGGGGAAGTCCCAGGGACCCATACGCATTCCACCTACCACCTTATCTCCTGATTGTCCTTATCCCTCATTCACTCACTGGCCGAAGGCCGGCCGAGACCGCCAAGGGTGTCGGAGCCGAGGAAGCAACACAAGTTGAAAGCACGGACGACCCAGGCCAAGGCAGGCGGAGGAAACTCCACTGGCTGAGGCCGGGGAAGACCACTGAAGTATATCAGAGGAGGGAGCAGAGCAGAAGCACGGCTGCCATAAGGGCCAGCCAAGTCGGGCCGAACTGCCAGGTCACGAGATCCCTGTTAGACTAGAATAGAGCAAGGTGATAACAAGCCATGCAACCTACCTAGCTAGCATTCTAATAAACTCAACTACTACTACTACTAGGGTTTAGGGTTTAGGGTTTAGGGTTTAGGGTTTAGGGTTTAGGGTTTAGGGTTTAGGGTTTAGGAGGCGCCGTTATTTTCGGGTTTAGGGTTTAGGGTTTAGGGTTTAGCACCGGGCCCCTGTCGCTGGGAGAGTGGGCGAAGATGCCAGAGGAGCAGGGAGTGGGACGCAACGTTCTCAAGGAGAAGCTGGGGAAGTGGCTGCAGAGCAAGCGCTGGACTCGCGTGCAAGGAGAGAGCAAGAAGGCAAGGAGGGGCAGCGCGTTCTCGCCACGGGCAACGGCAGCTGCTGAGCTTGAGCAGGAGGCGGAGAGCGACGACATAGAGCGTCGATCTCTTAGCTTCCTGTTCATAGCACTGAGTAAATTCGCAGAGATGCATGTGCTGGCCTGCTCGCTGAAGGTGGACAAGAAGGACCGACTGCGAGTGGAGATGTGGGAAGATGACGAAGAAGAGGAAGACATGGAGGAAGAGCAAGGCGAGGGCGAGGAAGAAGACGGGGCGAGCCCGTACCGAGCTTGAGCTGAGCTCAAGGTAAGGAGAGAAGGTAGGAGGCGACCGAAGGCCAAGGTGAGGAGAGGCAACTCTCCTGACTGAGCTGAGGAAGCTGAATGGAGGAGGAGTAGGTGGCGACCGAAGGCCAAGGTGAGGAGAGGCAACTCTTCTGACTGAGGCTGAGGAAGCTGAATGGAGGAGGAGTAGGTGTTGACCGAAGGCCAAGGTGAGGAGAGGCAACTCTCCTGACTGAGGCTGAGCAAGCCAAGAGAAGACAGAAGAAGTAGAGAGTAGAAAGACGCCTCAGAAGCAGGGTTCGCATTGTAGGCCGTGTACTCCCAGTGCTCGAGCGCCTCTTTAGACTAGGATCAAATTGCATAAGCCCACAACGAGGCCGAGCAACATTCTAGCATTCTAATAAACTCACATAATAATAATAATAATAATAATTTTAGGGTTTAGGGTTTGATCTCGTCGAGAGGGTGAAGAGCTTCGCGAAGCGTTATCCGAACAGCAGGACAGCCCAGGCTTGCAAGGCTGTGGAGGGATGCACCCCCGACGCTATCGCAGAAGCCATCCGCTCGACATGTCAGCAGGCACGACGTGAGCTTCTGCAAGAAGCGATGGCTGGATGGAGTGACGCATCCAGAGAGTGGTTTATGCAGCAGATTGAAGAAGCCAAGAAGGAGAAGGTCGAGACATACACCGCCTCAGCAGGCAACGAGGTGACTTCCTTCATCTCCATGACTCTCCTGGGCATCTCCTCGGTGTATGTCAACCATGAGGAGAAGTTGAAGAAGAAATTTGAAGAGATCGGACTGATCGTAGACTCAGTGCAAGAGAGTAAAGCAATCATGTGGAAGGCTCCGTATAGACCCGAGATAGCGAGTGCTGAGGAGATCCCGGTGACTGTTTCCTTCCTCCGCAATGCACAAGCGGAGAAGCTCTGGCAGGGAAGAGAGGACTTCGCGATCGATGGTCGCAAGTTCACAGCTGTACATGTGAGCATCGTGCACGATCGATCTTTCAAGATTCGAGCCAAGAGAGGACCCCGGGGCAAAGGGGGCAGCTTGGCAGAGCTGACTCACCTGCTAACCTTGGGCGGCATGACAACGGCTGAGATAGCTGCCGTCTATCGCTATCAGCTGCTGCGCCAGTCCCTTGCAGCGGTCCAACTCCAGCCGCTGGCAGGCATGCTGGTCGCTGGGGCGCCAGGACAGCAAGTCCACAAAGGCTTAGGTCAGAAAGGCTTCATCGCTGTAGGGGCCAACGTCATCTGGAGACAGAGGGAGGTGGAGTGGATCGTCTCCTCGAGCTGCCCAGAGGCGAATGATACAGCATTTCGAGCTTTCCGAGAGAGCGAAGCGATGGAGGGAGTACACCTGACTCTGTTCAGCGAGGACCCGAAGATCAGAGAGGCGCTCGCAGTCGAGTTGACAGCTGATCGCTTTGTGTCCAGAAATAAGTTGAAGAAGGCATCAAGGATGCAGAAGAAGGCAGGCGGCAAGGACGGCAAGGAGATCAAGATCATCATCAAGTCGACGGCGGCATCTGGTCGCTTCACGAGGAAGGAGATGGAGGGGCTGTGCAACGGCGGCAACACGTCTATCGCAAGAGTCAAGAGAGTCTTGTTGGAGATCGCTAACAGGCTCGAGATCAACGTTGAAGGCATCGACATGGAGGAGGATTTGAACACCAAGTCCTGGAACGGGTCCAAGCTATGCATCCTCCTCGGCTCCACGGAGGATGCTCGACACATGATGAAGGAGCTGCCCTTCTATCTCGAAGGCGCAGCAACCAAGCTCGAAGCAGTCGGCTTCGACAAGGAGCCTGACTCTGAGGCGGCTGGTCAGCGGGGCACCAGCGACGCAGCGCAGCGACAGGAGGAGAGCGAGGGAGAGTGGCTGGAGTTTACAGACCTGGAGAGGATCACAATGGAGGCAGCATCTCCGTCAAGCCAAGAGGACATGCAGCTCGTCAGCGAGCTGTCAGCAGTCATTGAAGATGCAGCTTCTTTGAACGAGGCGGGGACGAGCGAGCCGATCAAGCTCTACTCTCCGGGGAGCCTGGAGTTCATGTCGCTGGGAGAGTGGGCGAAGATGCCAGAGGAGCAGGGAGTGGGACGCAACGTTCTCAAGGAGAAGCTGGGGAAGTGGCTGCAGAGCAAGCGCTGGACTCGCGTGCAAGGAGAGAGCAAGAAGGCAAGGAGGGGCAGCGCGTTCTCGCCACGGGCAACGGCAGCTGCTGAGCTTGAGCAGGAGGCGGAGAGCGACGACATAGAGCGTCGATCTCTTAGCTTCCTGTTCATAGCACTGAGTAAATTCGCAGAGATGCATGTGCTGGCCTGCTCGCTGAAGGTGGACAAGAAAGACCGACTGCGGGTGGAGATGAGGGAAGATGACGAAGAAGAGGAAGACAGTGGAGGAAGAGCAAGGCGAGGGCGAGGAAGAAGACGGGGCGAGCCCGTACCGAGCTTGAGCTGAGCTCAAGGTAAGGAGAGAAGGTAGGAGGCGACCGAAGGCCAAGGTGAGGAGAGGCAACTCTCCTGACTGAGGCTGAGGAAGCTGAATGGAGGAGGAGTAGGTGGCGACCGAAGGCCAAGGTGAGGAGAGGCAACTCTCCTGACTGAGGCTGAGGAAGCTGAATGGAGGTAGAGTAGGTGGCGACCGAAGGCCAAGGTGAGGAGAGGCAACTCTCCTGACTGAGGCTGAGGAAGCCAAGAGAAGACAGAAGAAGTAGAGAGTAGAAAGACGCCTCAGAAGCAGGGTTCGCATTGTAGGCCGTGTACTCCCAGTGCTCGAGCGCCTCTTTAGACTAGGATCAAATTGCAAAAGCCCACAACGAGGCCTCGCTCCCTTCGCTCCCCTCGCTCCCTCGCTGCCTCGCTCCCCTCGCTCTCTCGCTCCCCTTGGGTTTAGGGTTTAGGGTTTAGGGTTTAGGCGCCGGTTATTTCAGGCAGCGCCGGTTATTTCAGGCAGCGCCGGTTATTTCAGGCAGCGCCGGTTATTTCAGGCAAGCGCCGGTTATTTCAGGCAGCGCCGGTTATTTCAGGCAGCGCCGGTTATTTCAGGCAGCGCCGGTTATTTCAGGCAGCGCCGGTTATTTCAGGCAGCGCCGGTTATTTCAGGCAAGCGCCGGTTATTTCAGGCAGCGCCGGTTATTTCAGGCAGCGCCGGTTATTTCAGGCAGCGCCGGTTATTTCAGGCAGCGCCGGTTATTTCAGGCAGCGCCGGTTATTTCAGGCAGCGCCGGTTATTTCAGGCAGCGCCGGTTATTTTAGGCAGCGCCGGTTATTTCAGGCAGCGCCGGTTATTTCAGGCAGCGCCGGTTATTTCAGGCAGCGCCGGTTATTTCAGGCACCATGGCTGCACGCGTGGTGTAGGGGAAGCTGCCAGGGCGCCAAGGAAGCTGCAAGCGAGAGGTTTGTATACTTCAAATAGCTTTCTAAGTATGGTTCTTCAGTATGATGAAAATGTTCGCAACCTGCTGTATCGGAGATCATGCCAATACACGCAGAGCGGACTTGTGGATGCCTCTGTCCTCGAAGCTGATCTCGTCGAGAGGGTGAAGAGCTTCGCGAAGCGTTATCCGAACTGCAGGACAGCCCAGGCTTGCAAGGCTGTGGAGGGATGCACCCCCGACGCTATCGCAGAAGCCATCCGCTCGACATGTCAGCAGGCACGACGTGAGCTTCTCCAAGAAGCGATGACTGGATGGAGTGACGCATCCAGAGAGTGGTTTATGCAGCAGATTGAAGAAGCCAAGAAGGAGAAGGTCGAGACATACACCGCCTCAGCAGGCAACGAGGTGACTTCCTTCATCTCCATGACTCTCCTGGGCATCTCCTCGGTGTATGTCAACCATGAAGAGAAGCTGAAGAAGAAATTTGAAGAGATCGGACTGATCGTAGACTCAGTGCAAGAGAGTAAAGCAATCATGTGGAAGGCTCCGTATAGACCCGAGATAGCGAGTGCTGAGGAGATCCCGGTGACTGTTTCCTTCCTCCGCAATGCACAAGCGGAGAAGCTCTAGCAGGGAAGAGAGGACTTCGCGATCGATGGTCGCAAGTTCACAGCTGTACATGTGAGCATCGTGCACGATCGATCTTTCAAGATTCGAGCCAAGAGAGGACCCTGGGGCAAAGGGGGCAGCTTGGCAGAGCTGACTCACCTGCTAACCTTGGGCGGCATGACAACGGCTGAGATAGCTGCCGTCTATCATTCTGTAGGATTTCGCCCAGGAAAAACCAAGGAAAAGTGGCTTTTTGTCAGTTCTCGATCTCCCAGTACCGGTTATGACTAATGACCCGGTGGTTTCCCCTGAATAAGGGGGTGGTGGTACCTGGATTGTTTGAGAGGGGTCGTTGAATTAGTTTTTAATACAGCGTGTTTTTGTTCAAATATCTCATAGCTATTTTTGTATGAGTCAGTTAGACATTTGTACCATTTTCGTTTTATTTATTTTTATATATATAAACACATACATGATGTTTACATATGGTTACCAGGAACTTCCAATCCCGTACAGAATGCCACTACATACCGGTACTGCTTACCCAAAAATGTATGTGGGGTGGGTGGAAATCGTCCCACCGCAGCCAAAGAGCATTCATGTTTGGAATGGCATCATTCTACAACAGAGCATGAGATTGTGATGATTGAGCAGAGTCTCTCGAGATCCCAAGCATTCTCTTTCTACAAGCAACACTGCATGGCAAGCAAGGATGCGAATTTCACCGTCAATGGGGCTTTGGCATGTTACATGCCGGGAGCAACACAACACAAGGCGTTGTCGTCATGTGTTTGTCTAGGATAAATCGTATCCTCCTCATGTTTGGAAAGTTTTGAATAGCCTTGAAGATTTTCCTGCAAATGAGCCGCCCATTCATATTTACCTTCTCAACCCCTATGAAGCACATTCTGAGGTTTACACAGGATTTCTGTCAGAACCTGCAACAGTTAACATGGACACATGCAAACGTATGAAGAAGCATGGACACATGTAAATGTATGAAGAGGATGTTGCTTCTTCGAAGATGGTATGGAAAGACTCGTGACAATGAAGAAAGTTTGGGCCAGGAAAAATTTGAGGAAATTTCCCAAATGCGTTAAGCTTTCCTCATAGCTGCATTGTACCATCAATCAGATGTAGGTAGCCTCATTTTAAATGTTCTAGGCAGGTGCGAAGCGGATGTTCTCCTATAAAATTTATGGTCTACGATACTGATTCATGCAACACTTGTGATTTTCTGATCGTAATAATCAGATTGTCAGAGTGTGTTTCCATATGTTAGATAACCTCCTCCACTCAATATGATATGGTAGATTGAATTTGAGCTTAATGATAGTTTACTAAACCAAAGTTGAGGGTCCTCTCAAATAAAGATTGGTTTAACATCTCTGCATCTGAGCAGCAAGTGTGCTGCTTTTCGCTGCAAGTCAGATGTCAAGCTTTGCATCAACAATAATTTTCTGCGACAGAGCAATTATTCATTTGAATCCAGGAATATATATGTCAAAATCAAGCCTGCATGCTTTTCTTGCTGGAATTCTATCTGAAAGTCTCTTGAGAAGCTAGTCATCTCTGCAGAGTATCTGTGAACTCTCCAGCGCGCAGTGTTGTAACAAGGGAAGTGAAACACGGAGATTATCCGTTTGAATGCTCTCACAACGATCATTGGGCTGCATGCCTTCCAGATATCTGCGATACCTTCTGTGTCATTGTCTCTCTCAACAGCTTCTCATCCAATGGTCCACATCAGCAAAGGACAAGGAGGCAGCAAAATAAAATATTTTGGAGGAAAACTCTTATTGAAAATCTCAAAGCACACATGTAAGCTTCCGAATCACACATCCGTCGCAAGCCTTCCAGCACACATGCATGTTGGGCTTCTGATTCACCTCTGTCATTGTCTCTCTCAACTGCTTCTCATCCAATGGTCCACATCAGCAGATGGTTTGCATTATGCCAGCATCAGGGAAGGGGTAAAGGACAAGGAGAAAGCAAAATAAAATATTTTTCACTTTGTACTGTTATCGACATATAAAAATTATTCTATTGAACATTTCAAATCAATTTCGTAAGGTCTCAAATTACCTGGTACAAATAAATGAAATCCCTCAACCACCCCTCGATTCCCAGGGACTACCCTACAAGATAGCGTATATGCCTACCTGCCCAAAATCCTACAGAATGTATCGCTATCAGCTGCTGCGCCAGTCCCTTGCAGCGGTCCAACTCCAGCCGCTGGCAGGCATGCTGGTCGCTGGGGCGCCAGGCCAGCAAGTCCACAAAGGCTTAGGTCAGAAAGGCTTCATCGCTGTAGGGGCCAACGTCATCTGGAGACAGAGGGAGGTGGAGTGGATCGTCTCCTCGAGCTGCCCAGAGGCGAATGATACAGCATTTCGAGCTTTTCGAGAGAGCGAAGCGATGGAGGGAGTACACCTGACTCTGTTCAGCGAGGACCCGAAGATCAGAGAGGCGCTCGCAGTCGAGTTGACAGCTGATCGCTTTGTGTCCAGAAATAAGTTGAAGAAGGCATCAAGGATGCAGAAGAAGGCAGGCGGCAAGGACGGCAAGGAGATCAAGATCATCATCAAGTCGACGGCGGCATCTGGTCGCTTCACGAGGAAGGAGATGGAGGGGCTGTGCAACGGCGGCAACACGTCTATCGCAAGAGTCAAGAGAGTCTTGTTGGAGATCGCTAACAGGCTCGAGATCAACGTTGAAGGCATCGACATGGAGGAGGATTTGAACACCAAGTCCTGGAACGGGTCCAAGCTATGCATCCTCCTCGGCTCCACGGAGGATGCTCGACGCATGATGAAGGAGCTGCCCTTCTATCTCGAAGGCGCAGCAACCAAGCTCGAAGCAGTCGGCTTCGACAAGGAGCCTGACTCTGAGGCGGCTGGTCAGCGGGGCACCAGCGACGCAGCGCAGCGACAGGAGGAGAGCGAGGGAGAGTGGCTGGAGTTTACAGACCTGGAGAGGATCACAATGGAGGCAGCATCTCCGTCAAGCCAAGAGGACATGCAGCTCGTCAGCGAGCTGTCAGCAGTCATCGAAGATGCAGCTTCTTTGAACGAGGCAGGGACGAGCGAGCCGATCAAGCTGGTCCTGGACAAGGCCGTTGGCAACCTCCACGACACGTTCTACTCTCCGGGGAGCCTGGAGTTCATGTCGCTGGGAGAGTGGGCGAAGATGCCAGAGGAGCAGGGAGTGGGGCGCAACGTTCTCAAGGAGAAGCTGGGGAAGTGGCTGCAGAGCAAGCGCTGGACTCGCGTGCAAGGAGAGAGCAAGAAGGCAAGGAGGGGCAGCGCGTTCTCGCCACGGGCAACGGCAGCTGCTGAGCTGGAGCAGGATGCGGAGAGCGACGACATAGAGCGTCGATCTCTTAGCTTCCTGTTCATAGCACTGAGTAAATTCGCAGAGATGCATGTGCTGGCCTGCTCGCTGAAGGTGGACAAGAAGGACCGACTGCGAGTGGAGATGAGGGAAGATGACGAAGAAGAGGAAGACAGTGGAGGAAGAGCAAGGCGAGGGCGAGGAAGAAGACGGGGCGAGCCCGTACCGAGCTTGAGCTGAGCTCAAGGTAAGGAGAGAAGGTAGGAGGCGACCGAAGGCCAAGGTGAGGAGAGGCAACTCTCCTGACTGAGGCTGAGGAAGCTGAATGGAGGAGGAGTAGGTGGCGACCGAAGGCCAAGGTGAGGAGAGGCAACTCTTCTGACTGAGGCTGAGGAAGCTGAATGGAGGTAGAGTAGGTGGTGACCGAAGGCCAAGGTGAGGAGAGGCAACTCTCCTGACTGAGGCTGAGCAAGCCAAGAGAAGGCAGCAGAAGTAGAGAGTAGAAAGACGCCTCAGAAGCAGGGTTCGCATCGTAGGCCGTGTACTCCCAGTGCTCGAGCGCCTCTTTAGACTAGGATCAAATTGCATAAGCCCACAACGAGGCCGAGCAACATTCTAGCATTCTAATAAACTCACATAATAATAATAATAATAGGGTTTAGGGTTTAGGGTTTAGGGTTTAGGAGGCGCCGGTTATTTCAGGCAGCGCCGGTTATTTCAGGCAGGCGCCGGTTATTTCAGGCAGGCGCCGGTTATTTCAGGCAGGCGCCGGTTATTTCAGGCAGGCGCCGGTTATTTCAGGCAGGCGCCGGTTATTTCAGGCAGGCGCCGGTTATTTCAGGCAGGCGCCGGTTATTTCAGGCAGGCGCCGGTTATTTCAGGCAGGCGCCGGTTATTTCAGGCAGGCGCCGGTTATTTCAGGCAGGCGCCGGTTATTTCAGGCAGGCGCCGGTTATTTCAGGCACCATGGCTGCACGCGTGGTGTAGGGGAAGCTGCCAGGGCGCCAAGGAAGCTGCAAGCGAGAGGTTTGTATACTTCAAATAGCTTTCTAAGTATGGTTCTTCAGTATGATGAAAATGTTCGCAACCTGCTGTATCGGAGATCATGCCAATACACGCAGAGCGGACTTGTGGATGCCTCTGTCCTCGAAGCTGATCTCGTCGAGAGGGTGAAGAGCTTCGCGAAGCGTTATCCGAACAGCAGGACAGCCCAGGCTTGCAAGGCTGTGGAGGGATGCACCCCCGACGCTATCGCAGAAGCCATCCGCTCGACATGTCAGCAGGCACGACGTGAGCTTCTGCAAGAAGCGATGACTGGATGGAGTGACGCATCCAGAGAGTGGTTTATGCAGCAGATTGAGGAAGCCAAGAAGGAGAAGGTCGAGACATACACCGCCTCAGCAGGCAACGAGGTAACTTCCTTCATCTCCATGACTCTCCTGGGCATCTCCTCGGTGTATGTCAACCATGAAGAAAAGCTGAAGAAGAAATTTGAAGAGATCGGACTGATCGTAGACTCAGTGCAAGAGAGTAAAGCAATCATGTGGAAGGCTCCGTATAGACCCGAGATAGCGAGTGCTGAGGAGATCCCGGTGACTGTTTCCTTCCTCCGCAATGCACAAGCGGAGAAGCTCTGGCAGGGAAGAGAGGACTTCGCGATCGATGGTCGCAAGTTCACAGCTGTACATGTGAGCATCGTGCACGATCGATCTTTCAAGATTCGAGCCAAGAGAGGACCCTGGGGCAAAGGGGGCAGCTTGGCAGAGCTGACTCACCTGCTAACCTTGGGCGGCATGACAACGGCTGAGATAGCTGCCGTCTATCGCTATCAGCTGCTGCGCCAGTCCCTTGCAGCGGTCCAACTCCAGCCGCTGGCAGGCATGCTGGTCGCTGGGGCGCCAGGCCAGCAAGTCCACAAAGGCTTAGGTCAGAAAGGCTTCATCGCTGTAGGGGCCAACGTCATCTGGAGACAGAGGGAGGTGGAGTGGATCGTCTCCTCGAGCTGCCCAGAGGCGAATGATACAGCATTTCGAGCTTTTCGAGAGAGCGAAGCGATGGAGGGAGTACACCTGACTCTGTTCAGCGAGGACCCGAAGATCAGAGAGGCGCTCGCAGTCGAGTTGACAGCTGATCGCTTTGTGTCCAGAAATAAGTTGAAGAAGGCATCAAGGATGCAGAAGAAGGCAGGCGGCAAGGACGGCAAGGAGATCAAGATCATCATCAAGTCGACGGCGGCATCTGGTCGCTTCACGAGGAAGGAGATGGAGGGGCTGTGCAACGGCGGCAACACGTCTATCGCAAGAGTCAAGAGAGTCTTGTTGGAGATCGCTAACAGGCTCGAGATCAACGTTGAAGGCATCGACATGGAGGAGGATTTGAACACCAAGTCCTGGAACGGGTCCAAGCTATGCATCCTCCTCGGCTCCACGGAGGATGCTCGACGCATGATGAAGGAGCTGCCCTTCTATCTCGAAGGCGCAGCAACCAAGCTCGAAGCAGTCGGCTTCGACAAGGAGCCTGACTCTGAGGCGGCTGGTCAGCGGGGCACCAGCGACGCAGCGCAGCGACAGGAGGAGAGCGAGGGAGAGTGGCTGGAGTTTACAGACCTGGAGAGGATCACAATGGAGGCAGCATCTCCGTCAAGCCAAGAGGACATGCAGCTCGTCAGCGAGCTGTCAGCAGTCATCGAAGATGCAGCTTCTTTGAACGAGGCAGGGACGAGCGAGCCGATCAAGCTGGTCCTGGACAAGGCCGTTGGCAACCTCCACGACACGTTCTACTCTCCGGGGAGCCTGGAGTTCATGTCGCTGGGAGAGTGGGCGAAGATGCCAGAGGAGCAGGGAGTAGGGCGCAACGTTCTCAAGGAGAAGCTGGGGAAGTGGCTGCAGAGCAAACGCTGGACTCGCGTGCAAGGAGAGAGCAAGAAGGCAAGGAGGGGCAGCGCGTTCTCGCCACGGGCAACGGCAGCTGCTGAGCTTGAGCAGGAGGCGGAGAGCGACGACATAGAGCGTCGATCTCTTAGCTTCCTGTTCATAGCACTGAGTAAATTCGCAGAGATGCATGTGCTGGCCTGCTCGCTGAAGGTGGACAAGAAGGACCGACTGCGAGTGGAGATGAGGGAAGATGACGAAGAAGAGGAAGACATGGAGGAAGAGCAAGGCGAGGGCGCCGAGGAAGAAGACGGGGCGAGCCCGTACCGAGCTTGAGCTGAGCTCAAGGTAAGGAGAGAAGGTAGGAGGCGACCGAAAGCCAAGGTGAGGAGAGGCAACTCTCCTGACTGAGGCTGAGGAAGCTGAATGGAGGAGGAGTAGGTGGCGACCGAAGGCCAAGGTGAGGAGAGGCAACTCTCCTGACTGAGGCTGAGGAAGCTGAATGGAGGTAGAGTAGGTGGTGACCGAAGGCCAAGGTGAGGAGAGGCAACTCTCCTGACTGAGGCTGAGGAAGCCAAGAGAAGACAGCAGAAGTAGAGAGTAGAAAGACGCCTCAGAAGCAGGGTTCGCATTGTAGGCCGTGTACTCCCAGTGCTCGAGCGCCTCTTTAGACTAGGATCAAATTGCATAAGCCCACAACGAGGCCGAGCAACATTCTAGCATTCTAATAAACTCACATAATAATAATAGGGTTTAGGGTTTAGGGTTTAGGGTTTAGGGTTTAGGGTTTAGGGTTTAGGGTTTAGGGTTTAGGGTTTAGGGTTTAGGGTTTAGGGTTTAGGGTTTAGGGTTTAGGGTTTAGGGTTTAGGGTTTAGGGTTTAGGGTTTAGGGTTTAGGGTTTAGGAGCGCCGGTTATTTCAGGCACCATGGAGCGCCGGTTATTTCAGGCACCATGGCTGCACGCGTGGTGTAGGGGAAGCCGCCAGGGCGCCAAGGAAGCTGCAAGCGTTTAGGGTTTAGGGTTTAGGGTTTAGGGTTTAGGGTTTAGGGTTTAGGGTTTAGGGTTTAGGGTTTAGGGTTTAGGGTTTAGGGTTTAGGGTTTAGGGTTTAGGGTTTAGGGTTTAGGGTTTAGGGTTTAGGGTTTAGGGTTTAGGGTTTAGGGTTTAGGGTTTAGGGTTTAGGGTTTAGGGTTTAGGGT